AACAGTAATTAAAATATGTTAACCAATTATTTGTCAAAATAGATACATGATAAGAATATACTCATAATATCTACATACAGTTTCAAAAGAAAAATTATAAGGTTTAATAATATTTTTATTTATTTTGATTTGTATAGAAATACAAAACTTAATAAATTAGAAGATAAATATTATTAGATCTCAGGAAAGATCAGTAATTTATATATAGATTTTTTCTACCATCACTTGAAAATTGATATATTGAGGGAAATTTTAACAATAAAAGTTTGAAGAGGATTGAGTTGGTGAAAATTGTTTCACTGGATTGTTTAGAAATTGAAACTAATTTTCAAATTAATTTAATTTAGAATTGATTAAATGATGTTTCTTCATCTTAAATTTTGAAATTGTTAAATAAAATTAGAATTAACGTAACTTTAGTACTTTGTAAGAGTTTTTTTAATATTTATTCTCTATGAGATAATTTTGAACTCATTATTATATTATTTATTTGACAATAATATACACTTATATTTAGTGTGAAATTATATTCACAACAATGTTGTTTATGTTGTAACTTTTTAAATTAATAAATTAATAGTACATGCTGCATAATATATATCCTTAGTTAATTAGCATTTTACTGTTTATTTATGTGTTAATATTTAATTTTGTAATAGATTTTTATTTTTAAATTTTCTTAAAATTTTATTCCCTATGCTATAAAAAACACAAACTAATCTGATTATTTATATAATTCATCCTGTGTTTAAATCTATTGTATTTCAGTAGATTTCCTTTTCGTTTAATTTTTTGGCCATCAAGTGGAGTTCCTCTTCAATCATACAAAAGTAATAGCAATTAGTAAATGCATTATCGTTACCAAATGCGAAAGATATTGGATTAAAGAATAGAGGAAAAAAACCAACGAAGGTTGGATCAAGTGGTAAGCGGTTTGTTCCAGTTTAAGCAAGATCTCGAGTTCGAGTCCTTGCGTACGCAGCAGCTTTCGTTGGGAGACTCACCCACCATTTTCAGGTGCACGACCGGGTCGGTCCGGATTAGTCGGGGCGAAGCCTCGGATACCGGACGAGAAATCGAAAAAAAAGAATAGAGGAAAAAAGACAAAAAAGGAGAAAAGAAAGAGAACTGTGAATGTAGAAGAAATAGAATTTTGTAAGCAAGGCTTAATATTTCACTGCTTCTAGTCTTGGAAATGTAGAAAGTAGAACATAAATCAACGACAAAAATTGGAGGAATTATTCAATGCGGAAGAGCCTCTCAAGCTTTACCCATCGTATCCATTGCTCTCTTTTTCTTTTCTCGTATACAGAATGATTGCACTGTGTCTGTAGTATCATCGCAGGTGCTCTCTACATTGCATCTTTTCTTGAAAATCAAAAGCAAAAAAGTAGCAGCGATCTCCATGTACTCCCGTGGTGATTACGCTGTTTAATGGACAGCAAGTGGACTGCATTTTGTTTCGAAATTCGAATCACTCCTAATATCAATAGATATTAATACCTACTAATCATTTTCTTTTGTAAAAATAAAAGAAAAGAAAAAAAAGCAAAAAAGTAGCAAAATGGTTAAAGTTTGCCATCATTATAGCTGCTTTCGGTGGAAAGCAAATTAAACATTTATCGTATTATCTGGTATTACGTGGTTTAATGATCAATTCTTAAATGAGATGTATTTAGATGTACAAGTTTTGAGATCTATTTTCAGATGTTATTTTTTTTATTACCAACAATTTCCTTAAGTTAAAAAATATATATATTTATCATATTGTTTCTCTAAAAATATTTTAGTGACTTCGCATTTGTAAAATCTAGATGTAAACGTCTCACTTACTTTGCTGAAAATAAAAAATAGAGAACTTTACTAACAACTCTCTCTTCTCTCATGATCGACCTCCTTGCAAATAGTTGGAAGAACATTGGATTAAAATTAAAATCTACGCTTACAGACAATTTGCAAGAGGGAGGGATATCTTCTTGTAGAATAAGTTAGGTTATATCCCCGATTCAGTCCCTGAACTTTCATTTTTGGACTAAAAATACCCTCAAACTAAAAAAAGTATTAAAAAAATCCCTAAACTTCAATTTTTGGGACCAATTTCGTCTTTCCGTCGACGGAAGTGACAGATGGCACGTTAAGTTGCCACGAAATCAAGCTTTTTTTTTTCAACTAATGACATGGAAAAACCACGTGTAAAAAGTGTATGAGTTGGCATTTTATCTTTAAAATTACACAATTATCCATTATCTTTAATTTTTTATATTTTTCGAACTTACCAAAATGCCCTTATCTTCTTTTTCCCCTTCTTTTTCT